CGAACCTTTTCAGCACCAAGTGCCCAAACTGGAATGTGTGCACATGCGCCGGAGTGCCAGAAATCCAAAGACCAGCTGGCCGGTGCTCATGTGCGCATCAGCCAACTGGTTTTCGGGTTCCTGGAGCTCCGGTATGCACAATGACCAGCTAGCCGGTTCACATCCGTGTGCTGGAAACCCAAAGAGCAGCTGGCAATGGCACACATGCCCACAGGGAGGGCTCTGGGTGCCACCTCTGGCACATGGGCCATAGGTTCACCGTCATGGCTCTTAGACGGCTCCCAACGGCTGGAAGAACTCGGTCCGGCACAACCTGTCTCTGAACAAATGCTTCGAGAAAGTGGAGAACAAGGCGGGCAGCTCCTCCCGGAAGGGCTGCCTGTGGGCCCTCAACCCAGCCAAGGTGGACAAGATGCAGGAGGAGCTGCAGAAGTGGAAGCGGAAGGACCCCGTGGCCATCCGGAAAAGCATGGCCAAGCCAGGTGGGGAGGGAGGGGCCCCTGGGCAGAGCCGGCCTCCGTGCCCTGGGCACCGGGGAGGGGGGCCTCACTGGGAAGCAGCTCCCCCCCCAGTTTAGCTTACTTGATTGTCCTTGCACTTCATACAACGAAATCAAACCCCATCTTCCATGTACAATTTATGACCATGAAAATAAACACAAACACGCCTCCTTCGCATTCTGTACAATTGAATTGAAAACTCCTGATGTTGCCATTATATTGACCTCTAGGGTAGAATCCAACAGAGCTCCTGCCCTGGGATGGAAGCTGTTTTTCAGCCTGCTTGTCCTTGTTTTGATTATTCTCCTGTACCATCTGCCGGATGGTCATAGTTCAAAAAAAAGGATTCCCAGGATGAGATGGATCTTTGAGGATGTTTTGAACTTTCTTAAGGCAGCGGGAGCTATGAAGCTCTTCCAAAGAGGGGAGAGGGCAACCCAGGATCCTCTGAGGGGCAATGACCTTAACCCTCTGGAGTGACATCCTGTCTGTCCCTGTGCAACAGGCAAACCCTACACAGGTGTGCAGGAAGTTAAGATACTCTCTCTGGTGCAGCGGTAGAAGGTCAGAGCGCTGAGGCAGGAGGAGTGGAGTCACCCAGCCGGTATGGTGCCCGAACCACTAGACCAGGGGTGTCCAACCTTGGCCACTTTAAGACTTGTGGACTTCAACTCCCAGAATTCCTCAGCCAGCGAAGCTGGCTGAGGAATTCTGGGAGTTGAAGTCCACAAGTCTTAAAGTGGCCAAGGTTGGACACCCCTGCACTAGACAGACCAAGCTGGTAATGCCATGCAAGCCCACCTTCCTGCCTGCAGACTCAGCCGCCTCTCTCCCCCAAACCTACCGGCTGCTGATAAAGAGGTTTTTTTTTTTCTTGGCAAAACCGGATCCTCGTGCACCTCCCCCTCCCCCCTTTCCAACCAAAACTGCAGCCCCGATCGGTGGGCCTCTGCCCCGGAGAGCCACGGCCCGTCCTTCAGCCTCGGTGGTGGGCCGTCCTCTTTCTTCCTCTCAGGTGTCAGTGGGTGTACATCCCCGTTGTCGCCCGTGGCAGACACGCCTCCAATTTGGCCCCGCCCTTTTACCCCATCCTATCGTGGGAACGGAAGAGACCTCCCTAAAGAGGCTCCGCCCAGTTGGGAGCCAAATTCCCTGGAGCGGCCGAGTGGAGGCGGGTGCGAATGCTGGGGAGGACTTACCTGTAAGAGTAGATGGGCTTTGGAAAGAGGGGCAGTGGGGGCGGCTGCTGGGGGCCTGGGGGCCCCATCCTCTGGTACGGGTGGTGGGGGGCCGAGAGGAAGGGGAGCGGAAGGGCACCGCTGGCGAGATACTGGAAGAAGAAGGAGAAGAAGAAAAGGAGAAATGCAGCTGGGCTTGCTTTCTCGGTCTGATTTTTACGGCCAAACAGTCACCAGCCTTTTTAGGGGTAAGGAACCCAAAGATTTAGCTGTGGGAAGCCCACCTTGGGTTCTCCAACTCTGCCAAGGACCCCCGTTTCCCTTCAGGGTGTTCGCCCCGCAGCCTCCTGGTCTCCTATGCAGGTGGGTCCTCAGCTTGTGACCACCATTGGGAGGGGAATTTCCATCGCTAAGCGAGACAGGTGCTAAAGTGAGACGGTTGCTAAGGGACTTGCTCCTCATTTTACAACCTTTTTTGGGGGGGGACGACAGCTATTAAGCAAATTGCCCCAGTCGTTAAGCGCGTCATGGGATCATTAAGTGGATCCAGCTCCCCCCACTGCTTGTTGGAAGCCGGCCGGGAAGGTCCCGAAACAGGTGACCGCGTGACTTGCAACGGTCCTAAATAGGGGCTTGTGGGCAAAGGCCTGGATTTGGGTCACGTGACATGGAGGAAATGCTGAGGTGGTCGTAAGTGTGAGGACTGTGCTTCTGTCACTTACAACAGTTTGCTTACTGAGGGGTTTTAAGTCAAAGGGGACCCGTGGCTGTCCCTTAGCAGCCCTCTGGGCCGGTTGGTGCTGCGGTTCCCAGAATCCACAGCCGGCGAGGCCTTCCCTCCCTGTCTTTCTAAAGGGCCAGGTGGGAGCATTTTGGTCATTAGAGGAGGCAGAAGGGCATAAATGAAAGAATCACAGAGTTGGAAGGGACCTTGGAGGTCTTCTAGTCCAACCCCCTGCCTAGTCAGGAGACCCTAGACCAGGGGTGTCCAACCTTGGTAACGTTAAGACTGGTGGACTTCAACTCCCAGAATTCCCCAGCCAGCAAAAAAAATTCCCAAGGTGGGAGACCCCTGGTCTGCTGGCTGGGGAATTCTGGGAGTTGAAGTCCACCAGTCTTAAAGGGGCCGAGGTTGGGCATTCAGATAGACGCTCACCTGTCTGAGCAGGGTTGGACTAGAAGACCTCCGTGCTCCCTTCCAGCTGGGTGATTCTCTCTCACCTGAATTCCCACCATGACCAGGCCTCTCTGAGTTGGCTGGGGAGGCACTGGGCATGGGGGGGGACACCCCCAAGGCTTTTCCTGGACCCCCAAGTGGGCCCTTACCTGGTGGAAGGGGTGAGAGGGACAGAACTCCGGCAGCCCGTGAGGCTGGCAGCAGAAGGGCTGCTCCTCCAGGGGGCCCGTCTTCAGCCTGGCATCCGCTTCCTGGGGGGGGGGGGGGGAGGACAGAAATCACAGTGGTTAATTGGAAGGGACCTTGGAGGTCATCTAGTCCAACACGCCCCCTCCCCCCCAGGAGACCGTACACAATTTCTGACAGATGTCACTCTGGTCCCTTTCTTCAAAGTTTTAGCCCAGATTTGACAGATGAACAGGGTTGGAAGGGACCTTGGAGGTCATCTAGTCCAGCCCCCCGTCCCTCGGCCCAAGCAGGAGACCTTACACCATTTCTGACCAATGCGCAGAGAATATTCGGATGCACCTACATTGGTCAGAGAGCTGAGGGAATGGATGCCCAGCCCAGACCTCTGGGCTATGGAACATGTTTTAGACTCCATCCTCCATCCTCCACCGCTGCCAGCCCATCTGTTCCGTCTGGCTCCAAGGGTCCTTCAACCCAGAAGGGGGGCATGGAGGGATCGGTGCCCACCCACCCTTCCTTGGAGGGCTGCCTGACACCCTGAGCATAATCTTACTAGAAGTCCTCGACTTACAACCATTCATTGAGTGTCCATTCGAAGTTACAACGGCACTGAAAAAAAGGGACTCAGGACCGTTTTCCACACTTATGACCGTTGCAGAGTATTCCCGCCCCCACGGCCACTGGATAAAAAATGAGGACTCTTGGCAACCAGCTCGTATTTATGACCGTTGCAATGTCCCGGGGTCATGTGATCCCCTTTCAACTTTCCATCGCTAAATGAGACAGTTGTTAAGTGAGCGCTGCTCTGTTCTACAACCTTTCTCGCTGCAGTTCCTCAGTTAGTAACACGGTCATTAAGTGAATCTGGTGTCCCCCCCCACCCTTGACTTTTGCTCGTCAGGAGGTCGCAAAAGGGACACTGCGCCTGTCATAAGTACGAGTCAGCGGTCAAGCGTCTGAACGTTGATCCCCCCTGAGCTTGGGGGATGCTGCTGCCACGGCCGTAAGTGTGAAAAACGGGCCACACGTCAAATTTCTTTCAATGCCGCTGCAACTTCGAAAATGAACGGCTGTAAGTCGAGGATGTGTAGAGGATAATAGGAGAACAGAGTTGGGAGGCGCCTTGGAGGCCATCTAGTCCAACCCCCTGCCTGGCTAGGAAACCTAAAAATGGGAGTGAGAATAAAACATTGAGGAAATGTCATGTTAACGCTCCAGGAATGGGAACAAAACTTCGAGGGAACGAGGACGCCTGCCTTGGGCGGGGGGGGCGGGGGGGTCAGACTAGAAGGCCTCTGAGGCCCCTCCCAACCCTGGGATTCTTGAGTTCATGGAAGGAACTTCCTAGAGAGAATCGAAAACGTCTCCGTCCGAAATGTCTGCAGCCTCTCAGGTTCAGCAATTGGGGGGAGGGGGCAGAGGTCTTCTGGAGCAGGGGTCTCCCACCTTGGCCACCTTAAGACCGGTGGACTACAACTCCCAGAATTCCTTGGCCAGCTGCCTGAGGCATTCTGGGAGTTGAAGTCCACAAGTAAAGCTGGCTGAGGCATTCTGGGAGTTGAAGTCCACCGGTCTTAAAGTGGCCAAGGTGGGAGCCACCTACTCTGGAGGGTGGAGGTGGGTGTGGAGACAGACCCTGGCTGGGGGAGCCGGAGGTTGAGCTGCAGGCTGGCGAGGCTGCTCAGAACCAAGCCCACCCTGTCAGAAATGGTGTAGGGTCTCCTGTTGGGGGAGGGTTGGACTAGATGACCTCCAAGGCCCCTTCCCCCCTCTGACTAGGTGTAAATCCCCAGCGCTGTCTTTCAGCTGGAGCTGCAGAGGACTCACCAGGGCCCGCGGGATGTGGGGCTCCTGCCCCAGGCGGCCGTACTGCATGCCGTTGCTGCTCCAGGCCGGTTCGGGGCCCAGGTGGGGCAGCGGTGGGGGGAAGCCCTGGGCCGCCTGCCTGGTCTCCTCCAAGCCCTCCTGGGCAGCGGCGGGGAAGGGCTCCTCCGGCCCCTGCCGCTGGTACGGGTGGAAGGGGGTCCGCAGGGCGCCCTTGGCGAAGCGGGGGCCGCCGCGGGGGCCGCCCTCCTCGTAGGCCGAGCGCCGGAATTTCTCGGCTGGGAAGCGGGCGAAGAGCCGCTCGGGGCAGGGCAGAGAGGCGTCGGAGCTGGGCGGGGATCCCGGGGGGTTTCTGTCCGGCCGGCCGTGTCCCTCGGGGCGCTGGCGGTGGAAGGCTGGGTGCTCCTGTGGGGAGGAAGAGGAGAGGAGACAGAATGGAGGAGGAGTACGATGGGAGAGAAAATGAAGAGAAGAGAAGAGAAGAGAAGAGAAGAGAAGAGAAGAGAAGAGAAGAGGAAATATGGAATAGAATGGAAGAAGAGAAGAAGAGATGAGGGGTCCCCAGACTTGGCAACTTTGACACTTGTGGACTTGGGAGTTGAAGTCTTAAAGTGCCAAGTTTGGAGATCTCCGGAATAGGATCGGATAGGACAGAATAGAATAGAATAGAGAGGGAAGGGACCTTGGAGGTCTTCTAGTCCAACCCCCGGCTCAAGCAGGTGACTTTGTGCCATTTCAGACTAATGGCTGTCAATCTCTTCTTAAAAACATGTTTTTCTCTTTTCTTTTATTCACATTGAGAGCCTTTGCACCAAAGACAAATTCCTTGTGTGTAAAATAACACTTGGCCAAGAAAGAATTTTCTATTCTGTTCTGTTCTGTTCTGTTCTATTCTATTCAATTCATTTTCTATTCTATTCTATTCTATTCTATTCTATTCTATTCTATTCTATT